TAAAATGAATCTATAAAATGGTAGAAGGGCAATTATACAAATATGATATTTTCTAGTTTCTTCAGTACACAATAACGCTTATGTCTAAATACTGTCAATACTTCCATGTTGTACGTTTCAGAATCTATCCAAACGTACAAAAATTTATGTTTTGTTCCTGTAAAAGTTGTGTATTAATACCGTATTAACAATGAGACCAGGCTGCCACTCTAACAGAGGAAAACTTACAAGACATTGTTAGCTTACTACACATACACATATATTTTATATGATAGATGGATATGAGCTAGATGATAGATGATAGATAGATAGAGATAGATAGATAGATAGATAGATAGATAGATAGATAGATAGATAGATAGATAGATAGATAGATAGATAGATAGATAGATAGATAGATAGATAGATAGATAGATAGATAGATAGATAGATAGATAGATAGATAGATAGATAGATAGATAGATAGATAGATAATTGTCTAATAAATAAGTACTTTAAAGGGGTCATATAATGGTACATGCACTTTTACAGGTTGATTGTACTGAAATGTGTGTTGGCAGTGTCTGTACACAACCATCATATAATGATAAAAATCTATCCAGTGGTTTTGTTTTAATCTCCTTATATGTTTTCCCCTGCCTCAAATCGAGCCGTTCGAGCCTGTGACGTCACAAGCTCGCACGCCCCTCCCACGATTGTTGATTGACAGGAGCGTTTCAACACAGACCCGCCCTCACTCATGAGGGAGCTGTCAATCATAGTCTGCGCGGCGCGGACCGGCGCGGTCATTGTTGATATGCTGGAGCACTGTCTATGAGCAGAATGGCTCTAAGCGATTGTGGTGTTCTGTTCTTGGGTGTAATAACGAACACAGCAGTCATTTTAATGTTCCTAAATCCGAACCGCTGAAGACGCAGTGGCTGAGTTTGTTTTCGAAGGGAATATTCCCCACGAGCAACGTCAATGCTCTCATGTTTGCGCGAATCATTTCACACACCAGACTGCTTTATAAACGAGGATCAGTATAAAGATGGATTTGCTAAGAAGCTGCTCGAAAAAAGGATTGGTACCAGATATTCGTGTTCCTGCTGAATCTCCAGAAGAACGGAAGTGAGTGTAACGTTTTATTAAACTTTATATTATTATATTTTTCTTTGCAAATCGCTAGCTGCACGCTTCACAATGAATGCGTCTAAGGTTTACACTCAGGGTACATTACGGCATGTTTTCTATGTATGATGTTCTCAATATAATTCATAATCCCACGTTTATACTGTGGTTATTGTGTTATTGAGTTACAAATGGTGTATGCACAGCACAGAGAGGCGGGGTGAGCAAAGCTCATGATCATTTAAAGTCATATGCACTACCGTCTTCAGTGTCAAATGATCCTTCACAAATCAGTATAATATGAGGATTTGATGCTCAAGAAACATTTATTATTATTATCAATGTTGAAACAGTTGTTGGTCTGTCAGTTGTACAGTTTTTTTTTTTTTTAGGATTCATTGATGAATAGGAAGTTCAAAAGAACAGCATTTGAAATAGAATCTTTTGTAACATTTTAAATGTCTTTACTGTCCTTGATAAATAAAAGTATTGATTTCTTTCCTCCAAAAAATAAAAATAAAATTCTCACTGACCCCAAACTTTTGAACGGTAGTGTACACTGAAACGGCGTGCTGAAAACAGAGCTGTTTTTGACCAGGTAAAATAAGTGTTTTCTTACAATACTAATGAGAATTTTTAATTAAAGTAAATTACAAACTTTTAATTTAGACCCTAAAGAATCATATTAGCTTGTACAAAAATGGCATTATATGACCCCTTTAAATGATTACAGTCTATTCACAAAGTTGATTAATTTTATATTATCCACTAGACAATATTGAAAATATTATAATTATATACATTATATATTATAATTATATCCATTACAACTATATATATATATATATATATATATATTGTACCTGAAAGAAACATGGTGCTTGCCGGATCTGAATTGGTAAAACAACGCAGAAGATACAGATAGCATCATACATACAGTATAAACCTCCACTGGAGAGCAATACGTGAGTAATGATCTCAGACTAAAGACAGTAAGGGTGACTTCGGAAACATCACGGTTGTTTTTGCACAGAAATGTATCTTCCATTATCTCTCAGTCCTTTGTTTTCCTGCCTCTTAGAACTGATTTATTCTGCCATTTTGGGTCAGAGTGGACACTCGTTCGATCATCTGAGCTCTAAAAGTAATCCTCTGTCCTCCTTCCATTGGCCACCATTATATGAAATTGATGGTCATTTTTGAGGCAGTGACTGGCAAGATTTCACAAGCACTTTTAAAGTGGAGTTTGAGGGTGGAGGCGTTTTAAAACACAACTTTTGTCCTACAACTCAATTACCCAAATGGTGTAATGCAAGTAAAGAGCATTCTTTTGGAGGAGTTCCCCCCAGCACTTGACATGAAATATTTATCAGGTCTACACTGAGAAAGGAGCGCTTCAAGACACTGGTTTTGAAATACAAACATAAGTGAAATGCATTTAATTAAAATGATAAGCATCATCATCAGGACAAAACAGATCAGACTGGAATAGCATGTTCTGACTAATCCTGGTTAATCACTGTCACTTCAGCAAAGCAGCTATTAGTAGTTCAGAGGTAAACCCGCTACACAACAATCGATTGCAATTAGACCAAGGTCAGGACCACAAAATGATCAACCAGCGGAACAACCTCGATTCACTGGCCTGGAGTATTTGAGTCTGAGTCCTGATTCAGGAGAACATTGTCCTTGTTTGAATAGCTGCAATGTGGATTAGGGGAAAGGCAACCAAAATTTAGGCCGGGACACACCAAGAGAGTGTGCGTCGGCGAGCATCTGTCGGGCTAGTTTTTGAAGTGTGTTCCACACGTCGGCGGCAGTTTGCCCGATTCAGCATGTTGAATCGCCGCGTCGGTGAGAGTGGAACCAGATTGGTTGTTCATTTTAGCAAACGAGTCAGTAGCACGAGAATTAAAGCGAAAGTAATGAAGGAAAGCAAGTAAGTCAAGACGTTCTAATGTTATGTTATCCAACCCGAGCATTCCAGAAGGTGAATATTTTTAATAACAACATGAGCAGCTTAAAATGAAGAAAATTATCAACATTACTGATATTCAAAATGGTAAGCAAGCGCTGCTTTGTTTACGTTTCATATATCTTGTATATCCTTTTTTCGGTTTTTCCTTTTGAATGACGAATATAGTCTACTGATACCTGATATAGACAGTTAATTCCTTACACGCAGGTGTAGAACGCACGTACTAGTTTGCTTTGCAGTCAGTTGTGGTCTGTGTTGTTTGTTAAAGCGCAGATTTTTGGTCCAGATGTAGCCGACGCGAGGCGACAACACCATCGGTTTTCGTTGCCGCTAGTTCTTTGAAGTTGGCTTGGTGTGTCCCAGGCTATAGATTTACAGTGTTGTAATATGCTACACTATAATTAAAGACACAGCATATCTAATCTTATTTATCTTATGTATGATTATTACACATTTATTATACAGTGGGGTCCATACTAAACCTTTGGAATAGTATTTAAAACTAATGTTATGACAAAATTAAAAAAATATATATTTAACATGCTGCACTACTACAGAAAAAAGAGAGATTAATGCAAGTAGACACTTTAGTCGAATTAAAAAACAAAATGTGTTTCAAAATCTGTCAATATTCTACATCCAACATAATTTATTTTCTTTTTTTTTTAATTAAAGTAAACACTATTGGGTAAAATATGTGGCAATTCAAAAATGTATAATCTTATTCAGCAAGGATGCATTAAATTTATCAAAATTGTTCAAAAGATTTCTATTTCAAATACATTTTTAAATTTTTACTTTAAATTAATCAAAGAATCCTGAAATAAATGCATCTCAGTTTCCACAAAAATATTAGGCAACACAACCATTTTCAATATCGATAATAAGAAATTTTACTTGAACACCATATCAGCATATTAGAATGATTTCTGAAGGATCATGTGACACTGAGACAGGAGAAAGGATGCTGAAAATGAAAATTGAAAACTGAAAAATAATAGTCTTGGTCATCCTTGGTGAGCACAAGATACCGACTAGATAAGATACTTAGTACTCTTACTGACCCCAAACTTATGAACGTTAGTGTACATCAAATTTCCAGCCATTGAATTGTAGCAATTTTACTATAGATGTATATCAGGATTATATCAAACATTGAGCCACCCTACTCTTGAGTATAAGCATCGACGTGACTGCCCACTAAATTTCTGTATTTAAAATAAATTAGTGTAAGAACAGGGCGTGCAATTGATCCTGTTGAATCAGGAAGAGACAAAAAAAAAAATGTTATCGGCCAAAGATATAAATCCTCCTGAGCTGCCTTCAAATGGTGTGATACAATTTAAGATACCTATGTATTGAGCGAGAGACTGAGAGAGACAAAGGCAGGTCTGGTGTTCCCAGCAGCGAGCTGTGTCAGTCTGTCTATGTGGTTAGCTCAAGTACTACTACGCTCATTAATTAGCTCCTTAGGGAGGCTGGCTGGCTAACGGGAATGGGGGAGGAGGTGAGAGGCGGGATGTAGGGGGCTTCTGAGGGGTTGATTGAGGGGGAGAGGGGAGGAGGAGAGACACGGACCCATTATCTGACTTGTCTGCGGTTGAGGGTGCCTGGTATGAGGTGACGCGCACGCGGCCGCAAACGCTTTACTACATGTACGGTCAGACTCACAGCAATGAGTCTACAGCGGCAGTCATTCCCTCCCTCGCTAGACAGTTACGTCTGTCTATCAGGCTCAGCCTCATCGTTAAAGCTGCCGGACGGGGTTTTCACTCAAATACTCCCGTGTATTTGTGTTTTCAAAACTTTACTTCAGGCATGTCCTTCAGTCTTTGAAACTACAGGAGTTCTCTGAGGTTCAGGTTGTTGGCTCAGAGTGTTTGTGTGTGTGTCTATGTGGTCATGTGTTTACCTTGGACAGATCTCTGTAGTTACTGGGCAGGGTGAGATCGAGATCTTCACTGTCGTAGTTGGTGATTACCCAGGGGAACACAGGATACTGGTTCAGATCATTAAATGTACGGCCTGAAACACAAGGAGTGTCAAAACACATTTCCTTGAGTCTTGTTACCTTTATCATGACCATGATTTCACTTCGTCATCATGTCCCTTAATTACAGTCCTTTAAATAGAGTCACAGAAACACTAAATTATAATGCAAAGTTGTAAATGATACAAAGATTATTATTATTATACGCTTACAGTTCATATTTTCTACTTAAAAATTTCACATTTAATTCAATGTGTTACTTGCCATTTCTTTGTAATTGTCAATTATAATTAATTTACTAGCCATTTCTAAATGTGAAAATTGTTTCTACACCCATTATTTTTCAGTGTACCATGACTGGAGAAACAGTATCTACAGGGTGCTGTTAACATCTATTAGTTTTAGTTTTAGAGACGGGGCCTTTAGTATTTGTCCAAATTGCTTTCCAGTCTTTATTAGTTATCTAACTCTATGTCCGGTCATACGGAGGTGTTATTCATTCATTAGTACATTAGCTGTGTTAATGTTTGGAGAACGTCTGGTGATGGTTAGCATTCAGGTATCATTGATTTTTACCTGAAATGGTGTTGAGGAACATGAGGTACTCAAAGTTGGAGATCTCTCGTCTTTGCCAACGCTGGGTCATGTTGGAGGCCTTGTAGAGCTGTTTCGGGCTGGCCAGAGAAATCCGTCTATCAGAGAAAGAAAAAAACACATTCAGAAATTCAAAGAGTAACCTGAAATGTGCACGTCTTTGCCAATCAGTTCATTTACAATATACCATTTAATGACATTAAAATACATTTCAAATATAAGAAATCAAAATAAAGTATTTGTTTTCAGTACACATAAAATTCAGCAAATGGAAATATTTATTTTAACAATTTGATGGAAATATAGTAAGAGAACCTCTAACTGATCTAGTAATCTGTTGACTAATTTCTTTATCACTCGGACAGAGAAAAGTCTCTTTTGTTTCAGCATCTATCCACTTTGACGATCATGATTTTTGAATCATGTGTCACAGGCTTACAAAAAAATGGCACAGAGTAATTGCGTCAGTTACTTCAGAATTTTGTGATTGGCTTAAACATTTGTACTTAAACACATGTACTTCACAGCAATGTAACCTTGTTCGTGCTCAAACAGTTATGGAACAATTCTCAAATGTTCCCACAATACATCAATTCGGGACTTTTACAGCTTTTTTCTGGCTTAAGAAGATGTAACACTGCTAGAAAAGTTTCATTTCAACAACAGATTCTATTCACACATAACCTCTAAACAGAAAAATACCCTTAAATCTATGGGAAATTGCTTTCATACAACATTAGCATAAATAATAGACACAATATGATTTGATATTTTGCTCCTATGAAAAAACTTACCATAAGAAGCCAATATTCAAATTTTAGAGGACTGATACAAACAGTGAAACATTCCAGTACTGTTATATGAAATACCGCTATGCCAATCAGAATCAATACAAAAAAACTCTTCTAGAATTCTGAATACAGTATATCCTACATCCAAACATGAACACAGACACACAATGGCATCATGGGTAATGTGGGAACCTGTTAAATGAACATGCACAGTGCAAGCAAATATGTGGACACTAAAATAAATGACTCTCCATCCAATTAAAACAAAGCGAAATTAGAGAATTCATCACTGTCACCCAGCGTGATTACAGTCATTAGGCCTCTCTGAAGTTTCCACTGCCCTTTGCCCCTCCTAACACAGAGGCAACGCCGTGACAGCGCAAAGGAAATGCCACACGAATGTTAGCAGAAGGGTAAAAGTGAATTCATGGCGGGAGAGGGCAGTTTGTAATGGTCAATAGCCACACAAAAACCTCTCAGACCAGTTAAGAGACACCGAGAGCCATGTGAGGAATCAATATCCACTATATTATGTTACCCATTATGTTAACCTATAGTTATGTAGTTTCAGTGAATGTTAATAAGAACACTGATTTAGAAGGATATTGTTATGGAATTCAACTTGTCTAAATCAACTTTTCTTTGGCTGAAATACAACTGCGTGTGTGTGTGTGTTTCCTGTGTTCCCATTCTGCCCTGCAGGCTCTGCACTGGCCCCTGTATTTATTTCTCAGTTGGGGAGATAAATAAATGATGTGAATTGTGTTTGTGTGAAGGTAATTAGGCAGTGTTACAGCCACCCCCACACCATACACACATTAACACACACAAACAAGCAGTGTTAGGCCAGAAACATGCTAAAGTCCGCAAACGTAGAAGCAAATGCTTGGCCAACAGATTGCAAGTGCGAACTGAGCGACCATGAGGAAAGATGGCAGAAAGTAGGGCTGTGTGGTAATTCAAAATTTATAATAAAACCAGGAAGCGATTTCTAAACTGCAGAATACACGATTTTTCCACTAGCACTATGCAAGATGAATAGCGTTACGAGTTTGAAGAAAACACAGAAACAGGGAAGGTGAATTCAAGGAAGGATAAGGACTTGGATTTTGGAATTTTGGATACAGGAGAGATGATGTATCATGGAGCCAGGTAATTTGCAAGGCCTGTTAAAACTATCGTTGTGGCAAAACAGAGTAAACGCTATTCATATAGAATGCGTTTTTGCAGTTAAAAAATAAGAGGCGCAGGTCTAAAGACAAGTTGAACGCCATGTCAAAAGACGCAAGCGCAACGGTTAAAGACGTCCGTCTAGCGCATGTTTACACACACATTCTGAACCAGGTGAACAAAAATATAGCATAATACAGGCATTTGCAAACTGCACAACATATGAAAAGAGTTCAAAATGGCATAAAGAAATAACCAATGCCGTCACATATTATTAGTTATTATAAGTATCATCAATAAAGCCAGCTTCCAAATAAAATTATACATACAATTATGTAAGGGAATATTGTTTCAAAATCATGTTTCAATATTGATCAAAACATCGTGATAGTATTTTTTGTCCATATCACATACTTCCGGGAGGTCCCGCACAAGTTGTGCAAGTGTCAGTGAGATGAATGTGAATGGATAGCTTTCTGCAGGTATTATAAAGAGCTGAAATGCAGAACATACCTGGTCTGAGGAAGGCCAAAATTCGTGCCGACTCCAACTCTGGGGAGACAGTGGACCACCTTTTTCACTGTAGCCGCATCTGGGAAGTTCAACATGATCGCCGCTGTAGGGAGGAGTGAGAATTTAACACACTTCATTTACTGTGTGTAAATAAATAGTAGAATTTCTGTTGAACTGTTTTAAAAGTGTCAAACTCAAATGTGTCAAACATTTTTAAAATTAAATGCATAATTTTAATAAAAAAAAAAAAAAAAAAATATATATATATATATATATATATATATATATATATATATATATATTTTAAGAGGTCGACTTAATGTTAGTAAAGTTTTTTTTTTTTTTTTTTTTCAATAAATTAATAATTGCTTTTTGGAACTCTGGAGTTTTAAAACATGTTTTCTATATTGTAATGATCTCCTCAAAAAATACATTTTCCAGAACAACAAGTGATCAGAGCTTACTCCTGTTGGCCATGAAGACTTCCAGCGCTGTGTTCTGTAGCAGATAGCGGCGAGAGAAAATCGCTCTGATCTCTGTGAACTGCCATTTCCCATGCAAACCCTCTGTGTAGGCTAAAATCTGCCCAGGAGACACAAACAAAGACAACGGATCAGAGAAAATATAAAAAATAAAGGGAATATGAGTAAGAAAACAGCAGGGCAGAGGGAAGGTTTTAGTTCATTTATCACCCACAGCTCATGCTCAGGGTTGCAGTGCAGGATTAATGTGTATTATTGATCAGTCCTCATGAAAAAGAGATGCTTTAAGCGCTAAAATGAGCCCCATTCAGACACACACTAAAGGGGAGCAGGAAGGCCACAGTTCACTAAAAGGTAATCAGTACCAAGAGAACTGGAAATCTATCAGTATTTGCCCTTCAAGTTGGTGTGAGCGAGAAACGGTTTTATCATGCGTTGCTGCTGCACAATCATCATACTTCATTGTTCAGAAAATATAAGAAATGTTAAAAACAGTTGTTCAGAAAGCGCAAGAAATGTTGAAAACAAAATGTTAGAAAAAATATTATTATTAATTTATACATTTCTACATATAAATTGTACATTTATTTATATAAAACATAAATGCATAAATAGTGCGGTTATATTTTTTTTGCAGAAAAGGGACAGACAATACACATCTTTTTGGTGACGTCACATATTACAATATGTTGCTGCAGATTTGATCTGGTTCTTGGTGGAAGCAACCAAATTAGGCTTCCAACTATTGCAGATAGCCCTGATACTGGTTATTTGCGAGACGACCGAGACGATAGAGAGACGACTGTAGTATAATTTTGCATTCACAGATGCTCAGCTGTGCCAAACACCCTAGTCTTATCTTAAGACTCTACTTATCTGTTTCTTTACCTCCAAATGCTCAATATTTTCTCACAGTTCTAACTTAGCTTTATTACAGATTGGTTGTTAGGACAGAAGAGGAGAAAGAGACCACCACACCTGATCTGTGGGGCTCTGATTAGGGCGAATAAACAGCTGAGTTTATCAGGCATTCAGATCTTCCAGTAGCAAGGCTAACACTGATATGCACTCATTAATGAGAGAAAGGGAAGAGAATGGAAGAAGAGAGAAAGAGAGGGCAGCAGCTGTGCTGTGTGCTGAGAGCAATGTCACTGCTCCTGTCTGCTCTGCAGACTCACTTCAAAGTCTCCGGAGTTCAATTAAATGTGGATTAAGGTTGTTCCACCGCCCCGGTAACGCTGCCGTTCGCCACCGCAAACTCCCTGACAAGCGGCATGCGAGACGGCCATGCTCTCCTATTTATCTTCTTCATCTCCCCTCTGTCAGGCAGTTGGTATGGAAACCGCACCATTAATGTGATATCTGATGCGCTACCTAACCAAGGTATCATGGAGAAGTTTGAGCATGGAGGAGTTTATTACAGCCGAGAGATTACGGACAGGGTCATAAAGATGTAATTCACTTGCACAAGTGTAATCGAGGAACTTCATCTGAAGGATCTGTCTGTTTGTATTGTGTATTAGCAGCAGCTGCGATGGACTGGTAATGAAATTAACCCCATGTAAGGAGTGTTAATGCTGCTAGAGTCCCCCAACCACCCACACACCAACCCACCACTCAACACAAAATCATAATATAACACACTTCACGACCTGATCATTACCTGCCATTCTAAATGGAAGGAGTGAAAAGAGTCAAAGCAAATAAAAACTATTAAGCATGGGTATTAAGTGGTTGTTTAGAGGCCTAACCTTCAAGTAGGGATGGACCAGTATTCAAATTCTAGCCAATACAGTATTCAGAGAATTCGGAAAAATAGTATCACGGTTTCCACAAAATTCAAAACCGTTTTCAACATTGATTATAATGATTTATATATATATATATATATATATATATATATATATAGATTGCTGGTTTCAAATCAGCGTTGTGATGCTTAAATTAATTTAGAATAGTGTACTTAAAAGGTTAAATCTTTGCCATAGTCTTGTGCTATTGCAAGTATATGTCAGTTAGATAATCGCAGTAGTAATCAAAAATGCGCAAATAGGTCAAATGAGTGAATAAAAAAAAATTAAATATCCATTATTTCTGCATCACTGAACACATCAGATTGTACATACAAGAAAAAAAAGTAGCTCATCGCTAATTATTTTCAGATGAAAGTCACTTGAAAGGGGCATCTGGAGATGAACATCAGCCCATAAAATGTTGCTGACTAAAAAGACGACCTTTAACCTGTGCTTCATTCCATCTCTATAGCAGAAGAACTTCAATAGTTCACACTTTATCTTACTCCTGTCTACTCGGACCCAAAGGAATAAAGCAATGATTCAGTGCCTCGGCTTGACATGCTGTAGATTGATATGACGGTCTGTTGTGCGTCTAATATCATATTTTGTCTTCATGTACCTTATGTACTAGCCTTGTAATTGACCCTCTCGGTTTTCTGGATTGTTGCCCGAAAATCTGCCTCGCAAAAAAGTTGTACACTATAATATTTACTTGGAGCGGCTTTGATTACAGTGTGCATTTGTGGTGGCATTGATGCGTAAGGTTGTCGAAACATCACAACATCTATTTCAATCAAGAGTTACATTAAGTTTTGACCAAGATATTGCATTGGCAATGGGTGAGTCTAACCACTCTGTAAAGTCTACTCCAGCACATCCCATAGACTTTCAATTGAGTTATGGCCTCTGTGGTGGCCAAATCACGTGTGAAAATGATTCCTCATGCTCCCTGTGAAAACCACTTTCACAATTTGAGCCCGTTGAATCTTGGCACTGTCCTCCTGGAATATGGCAAGGGGATACATCTTCCAAAATGGTTGTTTAAGAAATGAAAAGCTACACACTGCATTTTAGGGTTAAAAGAATGGTTGCCAAACATACAACATGCCAGAAACACATTTATCACTGCAATAATGATCCAATGCAAACAGTGCCTTTTTTGTCAATTAGACGTTTAAAGCCACTTTAAAAGACTTTTCTACAGATATCAATTAATTGTTTATTCCATTTTGTCTATACTTGTTCTGGATGAAATGTTCTCCCATCTATGCCAAAACACATAAAAACAAAAATAATTCTAATTTCAAGGCCATGATACTGACGCCAAACGGACAACAAAAGGTTCAAGTCGAAATGGGAATGTGTGTGTCATTTCAAACCGCTCAACCTGTTAGGATCAAGAGGCAGCAAGTCATTTCTGAGTGCTGTCATTTGTCTCTGTCAGCCGCTGAAACGAGTCTGAGATGAAGAGGGACACATCTCTCAAACAGACATTCTGCCCTCTGCCAAAGGACCCTGTGCGCGCAAACGACATCCTCCAAGCGACACACACACCAGGGACCAGCGCTCGAGAGCATGTGCTCCGTCTCTGACAGAATTGAATGAAATCTAATTGAAAATACCCCCCCACCCCACGCCAAAAAAAGACGGGGAGGGGGGAGGTAGCGGGAGAGAAAAAAGCTAAGATAGCAAGTGTGAGACAGAGAGCGAGTGAACTATCCAGCGCTCTCTCAGAAAGATAAATGAGTCTCTGAATAGCAGTCTCTGTTGGGCAAAGTGTGCACTTGTGTTTGAGCTGTGATAAGGGCGTTCGCAGTGAGGAAAAGGAAACGGCTCTCCTGCCGCTGACAGAATCCCCATCCTCACTTATAAAATGTGTAATAAACGAGCATTATAACGCTCAATTTGAAGCTTGGCAACCGATGGCACACAATTACATGTGTGTGAGAGAGTGCACTCATACTCTCAGATGTTGGTTTTTAATGTGCCTATGCATCTGCAGAGCAAAATGAGGTGATTGAAGTTCAATTTGTATGCTGTTATTAAGTGTTTCCGCCTGGCTGAGTGTGTTAAAGATTGCGAATGGGACATTTATTATTACCTTTTGGTCAAATGAAGTGGCCTGGGCGATAAGGTGATGAAATTAATGAGGAGGAGGAAGTGGGTGATCCATCAACATCAACATTCAGAGCCGAGTGCACTGGAGATGCAATATTGGAAAACTTGATAGAATTCATGGGAATAAAAGGGAGGAGATATTGGAGAGGGCCTTCTGTTTCTAACACAACTGGCCATGTAAATAAGAAGCTGTAGTGTGGAAGCACACACACACACACATATATACTGTAGCATCAAGCTTACATCACTCACAGAACACAATCACAATCTGAGAGATATAGAAAATAACTTTAAGGTATTTGTATGAGACCAAGGGCAAATGTAACACTCAAAATGTCTTCAGTCACAGATAAGCTAATGTGATGACACTTATTGAGCACATGCAAGTTCTCTATCTGCCTGAAAAAAAAAGATGTGTTTGTTTCACTTTGTGAGAAATGTTATGCAAAACAAAAAAGGAAAGATTTTGATCTAGGAAAGCGATTTTGGAGATTTCCAGTATTTTCTTCTCCTATCTAACATTTTGATGCCTTTCAATATAAACTATTTTATATTTTATCTCAAGTAAAGGTTGTTGTAGATGTTGGTTTTGATGTTGCAGACAATTTTCAATTATGAAATAGAAGTTGCATGGCTAAATTAAAAGACTGAATCTAATTTACATTTTTCAATCTCTTTGAAGACTGTTCTTGACTTTTCAGCTGTTCTTGAGTAATGCGACTAAGCACTACATCACTGTTTTAAATGTCTGATCTGAGGGAATTATAAAGCATGCTAATTGGTCCTCTCTTAGAAAATCCAATTCATTCCAGTGAACTGGTTCATTCAATAGATTACCAAAATATCAATGATTCATGTCCCTGTACTAGGTGTAATATTTTTTATTTGGTTATGTAAATTAGTCCAATTTAAATTGGTTATGTCATCTTATTTACGATTAATTCAAAACTCATCATTTATTTGTGTCAGTAAAAATACAGCTCCAATGAAAACAAATTATAGAATGTTGTTTCATATTTACATAATATTTCTTTTTCCGAAAAACAGACTTTTCCTTAAATAACTTCAGTGTATTAAGCTGTTCTTTGTTTGAAGCGAATTTCATATTTTAGAGCTGCAACATACCTATACCAAAACATGGCATGTACAGTTTTAGTGGTCTAAGTCTGAAATGTTACACCTGCCC